TGAAGCACCTTTATTTTTAAGAGTGTAGTTGCTTATTAGCATGCATATTACAAGCATATTGGCTGTTTATTAGTACTTAAAAACACATTTGAATGCTTTATTCTTCATGACAGTATTTTAGTTCCTTTAATCCTGTGTCATACCTAAATTTAACAACTACCTTACTAACTATTAATAAGTAGCAAATCAAGAGTTTGAGGTCATAGTTAATAGTCAGTTAACAGTGAGAATTGGTCCCCAAACTAAAGTGTGACCAAAAAAAAGCTTTTACTTTTTTTGATGATTACTGGACTCTACAATTTACTTCATGACCTCATTATGTTGCAGAATAGTACTATTTGAAATGTTGATTGTGCAAAAGTTTGGAATTGGTAACATTTTTGTATATTATTTGCATATATTTATATAATTGCAATTATTTGATGAAAAAAAAACAGTAAACTCATAATATTGTGAAACATTATTACAATTTAAAATAACTGTTTTCTGTTTGAATATATTTTAATATGTCATTTATTCCTGTGATGCAAAACCTGTCACATGATCCTTCTTCTTATTTATATTAATATCAGTGTAAAATATATGTGGATACTGTCATACTTTTGTTCAGAATGCTTTGATGAATAGAGAGTTCAAAAGAACAGAATTTATTTGAAATAACATTATAAATGCCTTTACTGTCACTTTTAATCAATGAAATGCATCCTTGCTAAATAAAAGTATTCATTTCTTTTAATATGAAAGTTTTACTGACCTAATTGTTTCAAAAGAGTAAGTGAAAGTATAGTACAAATAAACATTTCAAACAGTAATATGATACATAGCTATTATATGTGAGTGGAATCCAGTCATATTAATCTCAGCAACAAATGTTTATTCCGCATTTTAATCCTATTTTGTGTAAAGAATGAAACCTTTTGGCAGTCTGATAAAATTATGAGTCAAGACGGAGGTTAAATATCTCAGTTAATATTGCCTCGGGTTCATTTGTCACACTGGAAATAGAAGGTCAAGTGGAGCGCATTGCATTGTGGGATACAGCATCTCACGCTGTGAGCTCTGCTTGCACACTGCAAGTTTTGCCAAATACAGCAGGTCACCCGGGTATTCAACAGCCTACAGAAGCATATTTACATACTGTGCGCAGTATACATACTGCGTACTGCAGAAGTCGTATGCCATTTTGAGACAAACAACAGCAAAGCGGCTTAGAAATCGGCCAGCACAGACATACACAGTCAGTGAATGATGCTGGGGTGTGTTTTGCTGAGATTTACCATAGCAGGGTGAGTAATGTGGTGTTTAGGGAGACAGTGTCTAGTGCTCTGTGCTGATGTTAGCAGTAACGCAGCGTCTCGGCTGTGTGTGCTTGCGCTGGGGACAGAAGCGGGTATGTCTGCAGCTCACTGTGAGTTTGGGCTGAGTTTACCCGCCGAACAGACGCACACACACTTCTCTCTGTGATCAATGAGCTCTCAGACGCACCGAATGCCAAACAGGACGCTCAGGGAGACACTCTCACACGTTAAAGAATAACAACAGACACACATACAGAATGTCACACGCACGTCAATTCATATGCAAACACATTCATCACAGCACACCAGCTCATGCTGTTTGCAAAAGCACAAGCATAAATAACTCATGCCTATACACTCATCATATGACAGACAACAGCGTTCATATTTATGAACAAACATAGACGAAATGTAAAGAGAAATCACAATGATATGAGCTTAAAAGCAGTCTATATATATCAGAGTTGGAGTTAAGATACAGATCTGGACCCAATCCAAAATCAGATCTCTCAAAACCAAGATCTAGACCAAAACCTGGTTCTAAGACTTATTTTTTCAAGAAGCAGGATGTTCATTTTACTGAACAGCATGATTGTGGCAAAAATCATATACTGTATATAGTGTCTAGTGTGTGTGTACGTGTGTAATATATATATATATATATATATATATTACAAATTTTCTGTGATTGTTAATTTTCAATTAATATAATTTACAGTAAAATACCTTTTTTGTTTTGTGTAATTGCATGCTATATTCTTTATATAGGCTACACATCTAAGGCTAAATTAATTCATTGCTGTTTATACATCAGTAAAACAAGACAAAACAGTCAATATCTCATTGGCCCTCTTAGCAGCATGAAAACAAAAAATTGTTGTTAAATCTTGAATAAATTATACACAGAAAGTGAGCATCGTGACAATATTAGAACGCCCCCATTAGAACAAAATCCTTCACTCAGTTAACACAGTTTCAATTGACTGTTTGAGTGCATATGTGCCATTACTGACAAAAATGAAACTTTGGTTGGATTCCATT